GGACAGAGGGACAGAGAGACAGAGAGACAGAGAGACAGAGGGACAGAGGGAGACAGAGAGACAGAGGGACAGAGAGACAGAGGACAGAGGACAGAGAGACAGAGAGAGGGACAGAGCGACAGAGGGACAGGGAGGGACAGAGAGACAGAGGGACAGAGAGACAGAGGAACAGAGGGACAGAGAGACAGAGAGACAGAGAGACAGAGGCACAGAGGGACAGAGGGCGACAGAGCGACAGAGGGACAGGGAGACAGAGAGACAGAGGGACAGAGGGACAGAGAGACAGAGAGACAGAGGGACAGAGAGGGACAGAGGGACAGAGGGACAGGGAGACAGAGAGACAGAGGGACAGAGAGCACAGAGGCACAGAGAGAGACAGAGGGACAGGGAGACAGAGAGACAGAGAGACAGAGAGACAGAGGGACAGAGGGACAGAGGGACAGAGACAGAGGGACAGAGGGACAGAGGGACAGAGGGACAGAGAGAGAGAGACAGAGGGACAGAGGGACAGAGACAGAGGGACAGAGGGACAGAGGGACAGAGAGGGACAGAGGGACAGAGGGACAGAGAGACAGAGGGACAGAGGGACAGAGGGACAGAGGGACAGAGGGACAGAGGGACAGAGACAGAGGGACAGAGGGACAGAGGACAGAGAGAGAGACAGAGGGACAGAGGGACAGAGGGACAGAGACAGACAGAGGGACAGAGGGACAGAGGGACAGAGGGACAGAGACAGAGAGACAGAGAGACAGAGGACAGAGGGACAGAGGGACAGAGGGACAGAGGGACAGAGAGGGACAGAGGGACAGAGAGAGACAGAGGACAGAGGACAGAGAGACAGAGGGACAGAGAGACAGAGAGACAGAGGGACAGAGGGACAGAGGGACAGAGGGACAGAGACAGAGAGACAGAGGGACAGAGGGACAGAGGGACAGAGACAGAGGGACAGAGGGACAGAGGGACAGAGAGACAGAGGGACAGAGGGACAGAGAGAGGACAGAGGGACAGAGGGACAGAGGGACAGAGACAGAGGGACAGAGGACAGAGGACAGAGGGACAGAGAGACAGAGAGACAGAGAGACAGAGCGACAGAGGGACAGAGGGACAGAGGGACAGAGGGACAGAGAGGACAGAGAGACAGAGGGACAGAGGGGACAGAGAGACAGAGGGACAGAGACAGAGAGACAGAGGGACAGAGGGACAGAGGGACAGAGGGACAGAGACAGAGAGAGACAGAGAGGACAGAGGACAGAGGGACAGAGGGACAGAGGGACAGAGACAGAGAGACAGAGAGACAGAGAGACAGAGGGACAGAGGGACAGAGACAGAGGGACAGAGGGACAGAGGACAGAGGACAGAGAGACAGAGAGACAGAGGGACAGAGGGACAGAGGGACAGAGAGACAGAGGACAGAGGGACAGAGAGACAGAGGGACAGAGGGACAGAGGGACAGAGGGACAGAGGGACAGAGACAGAGACAGAGAGACAGAGAGACAGAGGACAGAGGGACAGAGGGACAGAGACAGAGAGGGACAGAGGGACAGAGGGACAGAGGACAGAGGGACAGAGACAGAGGACAGAGACAGAGAGACAGAGGGACAGAGGGACAGAGGGACAGAGGGACAGAGAGACAGAGGACAGAGAGGGACAGAGACAGAGAGAGAGACAGAGGGACAGAGGGACAGAGGGACAGAGGGACAGAGAGACAGAGGGACAGAGACAGAGAGACAGAGGGACAGAGAGACAGAGAGAGACAGAGGGACAGAGGGACAGAGAGGACAGAGAGACAGAGAGACAGAGAGGGACAGAGGGACAGAGGGACAGAGGGACAGAGGGACAGAGACAGAGAGACAGAGACAGAGGACAGAGGACAGAGGGACAGAGACAGAGGACAGAGGGACAGAGGGACAGAGGGACAGAGGGACAGAGAGGACAGAGACAGAGACAGAGACAGAGGGACAGAGGGACAGAGGGACAGAGGGACAGAGAGACAGAGACAGAGGGACAGAGGGACAGAGGGACAGAGGGACAGAGAGACAGAGGGACAGAGACAGAGAGACAGAGGGACAGAGGGACAGAGAGACAGAGAGACAGAGGGACAGAGGGACAGAGGGACAGAGGGACAGAGAGACAGAGGGACAGAGACAGAGAGACAGAGGGACAGAGGGACAGAGAGACAGAGAGACAGAGGGACAGAGGGACAGAGGGACAGAGAGACAGAGGGACAGAGGGACAGAGGGACAGAGGGACAGAGGGACAGAGACAGAGAGACAGAGGGACAGAGAGACAGAGAGACAGAGGGACAGAGGGACAGAGACAGAGACAGAGACAGAGGGACAGAGAGACAGAGAGACAGAGGACAGAGGGACAGAGAGACAGAGAGACAGAGAGACAGAGAGACAGAGAGACAGAGGGACAGAGGGACAGAGAGAGACAGAGAGACAGAGAGACAGAGAGACAGAGAGACAGAGGGACAGAGGGACAGAGAGACAGAGAGACAGAGAGACAGAGAGACAGAGAGACAGAGGGACAGAGAGACAGAGAGACAGAGAGACAGAGAGACAGAGAGACAGAGGGACAGAGGGACAGAGAGACAGAGAGACAGAGGGACAGAGGGACAGAGGGACAGGGGACAGAGAGACAGAGGGACAGAGGGACAGAGGGACAGGGCGACGTCCCTGGAGGAGGACGAGGAGTCTGGACGAGTCTGGATGAGTTTTGTGACGATCAATCAAACAGATTTTAACAGCAACATTTTAAAATCAAGATGAAGCAGAAAACAGAAAATAAATGTAATTGTAACTAAAACACTTCTCATTAATAATATTAATAATTATTATTCCATTTAACACATTTGAACTAAACAGGTTCAAATGGATTTTAATCTGTCTTCTAAAATAAGTGTTTCTTTCTTATGATTTCTTGTTTAATCTCTTTTTTAATTTGATGTTTTGTTGTTTCTTTTGTGACTTTAACGTCTTTCTGTTTCTGTAAACACGTTGAATGACTCTGTGTTCAAACGGTTTAGTCCTGATAAACGCGTCTTGTCTCGTGTTTATGTTCTGACCTAAAGCTGCAGAGTTGAAACGACCTGCAGTTCTCATTTACATGTACAGAACAGTGAGGCGCTGAGGAGTGAAGCAGTCAAAGAGTCAAGAACAACAGCGAGAGTCTGGGGAAGGAGTTTTAAAGAACAAATGATCCGTCACCCGCAGATTTGACTGTAAAACACCGCAAAAGAAACAAAACTCAACTCCAGGGAAATATTCTTAACAGGTCAAATATTGTAAATCTTTTTAACAGATCAATATTCTGACTATTTCCTGCCGTGCGAGTCGTCTCCATCACAGATCTGACTGTCCTTCCTCCAAATCCTGTCCAATAATGTTTAAATTGTCTCATTTTTCTCGAGGTGTTTCCTGCTCAGAGTTGAGCGTTAATACAGTTTTACAGTTTTACAGTTTCCTGCAGTATCAAAAAGTATCATCAGTATCAGTTTCATTGCCGTCATAAAAAAAAATCTGCAGCATAAAGACCTAATATAAAATTATAATTTATTGATTCCTACATTTGTAATGAATGTGTGTTTGTATTTTCAGTTTAATGTTTCATGATTTAAAACTAACAGTGTTTCTAATGTTTCTTTAACTGTGTCGGGAGACGACGCTCGATTAGTTTTGTTCCGTTGTCACGAGACGCTCATAACAAAGACAAGACACAAGTCCGACCGCGAACGATGGTCCCAAAAAATATATACTGAAACTTCTACAATCTGCAGAATTTTGCCTTCAGGCCAAACGACGGAAGACGAGTAAATAAACCAACAGACTGAACCTGCTGCGTCGACGTCACCAAAAATCAGATGGGTTCAGGAAGTAAAGACGCACAGAACCACGTTTACCTCCACTGACTCGGCACCAAAATGCCTCATTTGTGCATTTCATGATCACTGCAGCCGCTCGAACCAGGAGAAAGACAAACCCAAAGAATCCAAGAAGTTCAAGAGAAAAACAAAGGAAGTTTAGTTTTTAAAAACTTACAGATAAAAGCAGATCAACAATCTCCTGCTAAAAACAGGAGGCAGAAACAGAAGATGCTCCAGATTACAGCGAGCACTTTGTAACAGGGAAGAATTGTATCATTTATTAATTCATATTTTCAAAGTTTTTTAGGACAATCATTTAGAAAAACAAACATCGTCAGTGACAGTGAACTGTTGGATTGAAAAGCTTCATGTGCTGCTCATTTTATGAACTTACTGCTGTAATTTGGAGTTTTATACTTTTTTTAATCATTATTTCAGATTATCCAAGTGCAGCGGCTGATTTTAATTCTAAATAGTTGTCTCCTCCAGGTTTTTAAAGTCTTTCATTTGGCTCAGTGTTTACGACGTCTGCAGCACCAGATCATTTTTTATCTCCATCGCCTCAACGCCGAGAAAATCCTACAAACTGTATGAAAAGTCCAACTTCTCCACATCGTACGGGTCATAATCCTTATAAGACTTATTTTTTTCACGATAGCAGGTCTGTTCTGTTTCTGAACAGTAAAGGCGCAAACTACAAAATAATTCTGAATTAGTCGAGGTAACACTGTGTAACCCGGGAAATACTGAGAAGGTTTAACAGGATCAAAGTTTGAATATCGCCCAAACCTGCTCCTGGTTGAGGAGAGCGATGAGTAAAGTGACCAGATCAGGAGTCTCCAGCCAAATCTCCAAATCTCCACCCCTGTTCAAGTAAAATCTGATGAATTAAAATCCTTTTACCACTGTCCATGTGTCATTCTGATCTCAAACTTTGTGCGATAATAAATGGATGATGGTTTATGTTTCATAGGCGTCTCAACTGTTCCTTGTCTATTTACTCAGTTTCTTATGACTAGCAGAACTTCATTTTCCTTTTGTACAGGCAGATTATTGGAGGAAAAAGTCTGGAGGCCCCTGGGTCATATTTTACACACAGAAAATCAGAGTTTGCAGAGGAGTGTGTGAGTCTGACCCTCGGGGGTGTCGGTCCAGCTCGGTGAGCACGGTGTAGTCGCAGTACTCGAACACCAGGTGGAGCCGCCTCTTCCTCCTGAACACTTCGATCAGGTTGACCAGGTTGGCGTGCTTCAGTTGCTGCAGAGACACAAAACACACGAGAGAAATGTGAACAATATGTGAGCGCCGTCCGTCATCGGGCCGGAGCCGCCGACAGCTGCTAACGCCAACGCACGCGAGACAAAAGCGGCGCCGTAAAAAACACCGCGATGTGTTTGAACAAGATTTATCTGCTGCCCGGAGACTGACGGTGTTTTGGTTTAGAGCTGGAAGTGCGTGGGATTCCACCGTTTAAACTGGAGACGCTCGGAGACGCCGGGCTGGAAATAAAGCTCAGATATGACACAGAAACTGACTCCTGCGAGAGTTAAATCATGTTCTAAAGTTTCCTCCTCACACACAGACCTGGACTTGTGTTTGTTTCATTCACATGTTTGAGTAAATCTGCATTATGAGTCTGTTTACATCTGCAAAACTCCAAACGCTCTGGTCCACCTCATGTCCAGTCGTCCCTGTTTCTCCGGGACAGTCCCAGTCCTGTCCCTGTGTCTCTGTCCCTGCAGATTTATACAAAACCACTAATTAGTCCCAGTTTTGTACATGAAATGTCCCTCGTGTCTTTATTTTGGACCAATCTGATCCTGCAACAGTAAAGAGACACATAAACTGACATTTGTTTCATTAAAATACAAAAACGCTGCTTTAAAAGGTTGTACACAAGATTGTCCAAGGAAAGAGAAATGCAGCGACTGTTCGTCCTTTTTCAAATGTCGCGCTTCACTCCTTTTCTCCTTCTCGTCTTCTTCTTTCAGCGACGTTAAAAACAGACTTTCTTCTGAATTCTTGTCGGTCGTTACAACAAACTCTGTGCAAACTGAGAGGAAGCTGCAGTTTGAAACAGAACCGCTGTGTGATGATGTAAACCGTGTGACCCCAGCGTGGAAACGAAGGGAGTCTGACTGACAACCCAACAGCCAATAGATAAAGAGGTGTCCTTGTTTTCTATTGGCTGATGGATTTTAATTATTTTTTTCGGTCATTATAATCACAAGTCTGCTGCATCTCTGTAATGCTATTTTGAACCTTCATTGACAATTTGAAACAAACAAAAAGAAAATCCTCCATACAACCTTTAAAACACAAAGAAAATGTGACTAAACTGACTCATGTTCATCATGAACAGGCCGAGTGCAGAACAGTTTTCCTTTATTTCACACTCGATTCACTATTTTATCATTTCCAACCAGGTCCGTGTAACATTTGTTCTTTTGAATTTCATTTAAGAGCGAAAACCAAAAATAAGAAAACAAAAAACAATTTTCTTCATTATTTGTCTCCAAAACCAAAATGAAAAAACAGATAATGAATTGTTTTGTTTTTTTTTTTTCAATTTTCAATTTTGTGTTTAAATGAAAAATGAAAAAAATACTGAACTTTTGTCTGAATTTTCATGACTTTCCAGCACCTACATGTGTAAAACTGATCAGACTTTTAGAAACATTAACTCTTTCCTCTCACCTTCTGGTTTGGGATTATAGTTTTTGAACATTTAAATCCTGTCAGTGGATTTATTGTCGTTTCTTTTAAACAAAAGACTCAGATGTTTAGAAATAATCAGAACAAACTCATGAAAACTGAACTCAACACTGGAGCAAAAAGAGACTAAAACTCCAGGACTTTTCCAAAACTTTCATTGAATTTACAAAATGGAAACATTTTAATTTCCATGATTTTTCCATGTGACCAACTGAATAGATCAGGAGTTTCCAAACTTTTTTCATCCAGGGCCACAGGTGTAAACACAGATGAAGCAGAGTCTGATCGAGGCTGTGGACTGAAGCTCAGAACAGAGAAGAATTAAAAACTGTTCAAATGAACCATGAATTTTTATTCACACAAGATCCTTAAAACCACTAAACACTAAATATTCAATGTTCACTTTATCAAGGTCGATTTTCAAAAAACTAGTAGTAAAAAGTACATTTTTTATTGATGCAAGGTCATTTGGACAAATTCTCCTGGAGCCTGAGGCCAAGAAAAATGTACAGGCCGTAGTTTGGAATGAATTAATTCTGCATTAAATTTTGTTAGTTTTAATTGATCTTTTGTCTCTTATAAACTCCAGATCAACATGTCCAGAGCTCAGATCCAACACTTTATACTCTTTAAAAAACTTCTACTGTTTGATTTTTTAAATCATCAGATTGTTCCAGAAACTAACTCCAACACAAATATAATCACTTTTTTTTCTTAGTTCTTGTCTTCATTTTTTTAAAGATGCTCTACATTTAAATAAACCAGAAAGTCTAAACATTTTGCTGCTGTTATATTTTCATTTTTTAAGTATTTGAAAAGTGTAAAACGTCTCTGATCCTTTTACACGACGTCTGTGCCTGTTGTTCGTTTCACAGTTTGTATTTTCAGTTTTTTCTCTGTTTCTGCTGTGGACGAGCAGTTGTTTCGTTTAGTTGTTTTTCGTTTAGATGTTTCGTTTAATTTAATCCGATTGCTCTTGACCGAGATCTGAACGGTTCAGTATTAAAACCCTCGTGAGTCTGGCCCCTCTGCTCGGGTCTAAAGCCACAGCGGCTCCTCCGGCCCGAGCCCGCCGTCTTTGTGCCCGTTTTAATTATCCATTCAGACCGTCACATCACAGAGCGCCGTCGCCATGGAGACGCCCGTTTACAGGCAGCTGCGCCGGACAAAACAGGGACGAGGGAGAAGACGCCTTTAAAACCACCGCATTCACCAGAGGAACTCCACTTTACTGCACCAGAGTTTGGAGAAACTGAGGAGACGCTTCGGTCGCTCCAGAGTCCAGCACACGTTTAACCACACGTTAACGTTAACCACACGAGTTTGATTTCTCAGCAGAGACGCCTCGTTTTGTCCTTCTTCTTCTCCTTTATAAATGAAAAATGCAGCAAAACATTCACACGGCAAAAAAACTCAGCCAAAATATAAGATCTAAACACTTAAATCTATCGGAAAATGACTTAAAAGGAATGAAATTATCCGTCCACGCAGCAAGTTCTCTGAAAATAAACGACCTCTACACGAGAATGAAACATCAAAAACAACATGAAGAACCTGACAGAAGTGTTCAAATCTTGGAAACATCAGAGAAAATTTGCAGTGCAGGAGCTAAAACATTTGAGACTGAAATCTGAATCCAGGAATCCCAGATATTTCATTCACCCTCCAACTTTTCTTTTTTGCATAACTTTGGTGATATCAGACCAAACGGCACCAAAATTGGCCAGTTTGTGTATTTTGTGATGTATTTTTTAATGTCTGTTTGTTTGTTTTTTTCAAGATCACATTAGTTGAAAGGTCGGTCATCAAAATCCTCACACTCGTGCTCCTTCTGTACATTTTGTCCCATTGACTTCCGTTCAAAATGTCTTTTTTCACTGGAATAACTTTACTTTTTGATTTACTTTTCATTCTTTGGTGTTGAAAATTTTTAGTTTTAGTGTCCGTTTGAATTTTTTGATAGTTTTCCTTTTACTTCCATTACAAAATTAAATCAGTAGAAAGACATTTGTACATTTTAGTCCAGACTGAAGTCCAGAGTCGTAAATATTTGAGGTTAAAATGATGTGTGTGTGATTCTAGAGGAGCCCAAGAGTTCAGTTAATGTGTTTGTTTGGGAGTGTGTGAGAGTTTGTGTGTGAAAATTTAAATTAGTTGGAAAAAAAAAATAAAAAAATCATGCACATAATTTGAGAATTTTGCTGTCAAAACTGGCATTTAATGGGTTAAAATGTTAAAATATGATGTAATATTATTTGGTGTGTGTGATTAGAGCAGAAGTTTATGAAGACATTGATATAAAAAAGTTGACCACAGATCGGTACTGCATAAAAATATTTTCTTTTTTGATTTTTCGTAAATTTTTTGTCACGATGGAGCACAGGTGTGATTATTTGAGTTTGTGCAAAAACAAAAAAAAATGTAAAAATCTGTGTTGACATTATTTTATGATTTCCCCAACCTCAGATAATCAACACAAACCAATTAAAATGACTTGAAAGATACAGAAAAAATCTAATGTTTTCTTTTTTTTTTTTCATGTACATAATTTGAGACTTTCCCAAACAAAACTCGTATTTAACTTGTTAAAATGTAAAAATGTTATATAATATTTGGTGTGTTTGATTAGGGCAGACGTTAATGAAGACACTGATATAAAAAAATATTGTGGTTTTCTTTTTCGATGTACATGTTTTATCACGATGGAGCACAGGTGGGACTATTTGAGTTTGTGCAAAAACTAAAAAAAATGTAAAAATCTGTGTTGACATTATTTTATGATTTCCCCAACCTCAGATAATCAACACAAACAAATGATTTTTTTCTATAGCTTTCAAGTAATTTTAATATTTAAATTTTTTTCATGCACACAATTTGACACTTTCACAAACAAAACTGGTATTTAACGTGTTAAAATGTAAAAATGTTAAATAATATTTGGTGTGTTTGATCAGAGCAGAAGTAAATAAAAACACTGATAAAAAAAGTGGGACAAAAATCTGTCCCACATAAAAATATTGTGGTTGTTTTTCAGTGGACATTTTTGTCACAAAGATCCACAGGTGTGATTATTTTAAAAGTGCACGAGGGTAAACTTTATTCTCAGCGTGTTTGTCGAGTCTAAACTACAGAATTCTCAGTTTTACAGAGAACAAACCCCCGTGGAGACAGCGGGAGGGCATCTGACACACAGGGACACTTCACAACGTGTTTGTAGACGTTTAAACTTCAGCGTGAGACGAGTCAAAGTCAAGTCTCCTGCGACTAAACTACAGCCCTTCTCTTCATTTTGAAAAGTTTTGCTGCACCGACTAATAAACAAAGACGACTTCATGGCCCATGATCCTTTGCGGTGATTTGCTGAACAGATTTAAACTCTTCTTCTGCATCAGAGTCGAGTCTCGTCCGGCCCAAGTTCATGGCGACTACAAAAATGCTTCCTTCTCGTAAGAGGAGAGAGTCCAACATTTCATGGACATAAAACTTCTCCTCGCTCGGCTCGACGGGAAATAAACCCAGGAAACGCAGCGCGACATAAAAGACGACAGGTTTACGCCGGAGATTTGAGGACGGAGACGTTTTTAACCCGACTGGAGCCGGAGGAAAACCACAGCACTGGAAACAAACGGATCTTTCTGCAGCTTTTGTGTTTGAAAAAAGAGGCTCATTCAGTATTTTAAAAGTGCCATTTGTGTTCATAATCACACACACACTTTCAGTTTTGTCAGATGTTCAGACACACTCATGAGGAGACAGTTAAATGAGGCTAAAAACAATAACTGTGACAAGTGAAGCTGGATGTTTGTATCAGTGAATCAGTCCAGTGAAGGTGGAAAGTATTTTTATGAGGAAAAATACAAAAGGAAAATTGACAAAAGTTGAATTCAATGCCTTAATCTTAAAGTTGCATCATGTAACTTTGTCTCCAGGCTCGTCTCCATGGAGATGTTACAGGTTTAACGGTCTTGTATATGACACCTGGGAACATGTTTTTACGTAACTGCGCAGAACTTTACAACCATAAAAGACAGATTAAAAAAAAGAATAAAAGAAGAGTTTTTCCCCTTGAAAAGCTGAGAGTTGTGAGTCTGATTCCTGAGCTGGTTTCACTTGGTGGAAACCGTGTGACCTGCAGCATTAGGATTCGTTCACTCGACAGGAGACGGGGACTTTTTTTATTGAACCAGTCGCTGCTGTTTGGTCGTGACGTTTGTAAAGCTCCAAATCCTGAAGGAAGAAGAACAAGAACGTCTTTCCCCGAGATCAAATTCACCAAACATTCTCTTTGTTCAGACTTTAAATCCTCGAGGATCTGGGGAATCGTAACCAACACAGAATGTCTGTCTCTTCTCTGATTGGCTGGAGCCTGAACTCACACTTCTGGAGTTTTTGTGAATCTTCTTGTGTTTTCTGATTCCTGATCTCGAGCTGGAGACAAATGAACCTGAGCGGAGGCACTAGGTGGAGCCAGACTGGACAGAGTTTCTGAGCAGATTTCCATCATTTTCCTACATCACACGTGAGCTGGTGTCATTATGAAGCTGCTGATTTGATTCACACGTCAGTACAGTGCACTTTTGATTCAATATGATATATTTATTAAACTATTCTAAAAGTCTGTTAAATCACGTCTTGTGCAAAGTTCATATGAAACACAAACATTTTAATAGTGAAAACGAATTTCCTTCTTCTGAACAAACAACAAAACTGGAGCTGGAACTAAATCATTTAGTAAAATAAACCAAAAAATCCTCTTGGTGATTTATCAATACATCAGCCCACAATATCGATACTGAATCATCACATTAAACGATACGATATATATCGATATTTAGATATTTTTTTGATGACGTCGGGAAAACGACTTTGTTTTGGTCAAACTCAGTCGCTCCGTCCATTCTGATTGGTCCAAACTTTACCAAAGATTGAAGTGAGTCAAAACGGTCGATGTTCTGAGCGTCTGTGTTCAGAACAAGTGAAAAAGTCGCTCTAAGTGCAGAGGTTTTTCACATAAATAGACAAAGGACACATGTTGACACTTGTTATTTCAGTCTAAATGTCCAAATTCAAATGTCATAAACTATTGCACTTTTTTGTTTTGTTTTGAGGCAATAAGGAGATTTTTAGTTTAATTTACAGACTTGATATTTTGCACTTTTGTAGCCTGAAATTAAAACATTTTTATGTCCAAAAAGTTGTTTCTACATGTTTGCTGAGTGATTTGTATGAAAGTGAATTTTATTTGCCCTTTTTTTTTTCGTGTGTATTTCTGGTCCTGTAGTTTTTATTCCAGCCACATGACACGACTCCAGCAGCAGATTGTCAAATAAAAGGTTGTAGTGAAAAAAAAGGATGTAAAACACTTCATTAGGGGTAAAAGAGGCAAATTTAAACATAAAATTAAGAAAAAAAAATCCAGACAAATGTAATAAAATTGCCCTTAGGTCTTGGAGGGTTGGAATACTTCAGTTAAATGTGTTTTTGTTGCTGAAAAACGCCTTAAAAACACCTGTTCTTATTGTGAGTGGAGTCGCCTCTCCACAGATCTGACCTCTCACTGACCACCTCGTCTCAAAAGTGATAGAAAAGTTTAATGCCACACTGAGGAACATGAGTAAACCCGTGGAGCAGACGTGCTCCTCACCTTGAGCATGCGGATCTCCCTCAGAGCGATCTTCTTGATCACCGGGTCGTCCTCCGACTCCACAAACTTCTTGATGGCCACGATTTGTCCCGTGTCTTTGTTCCTGCACTTGAAGACGACGCCGTACGAACCCTTCGCCGATCTTCCCCATCTTCTCGTACTTTTCCATCTTCAGATCCTCCAGAATCCAAAACGAGGACGAGTGTTTCAGGACGGAGGAGGAGGGAGGTTCTCTGGAGGGTCGGACGCCTGCGGAGTTTAAACGAGACAAAGACAATTAAAGCAACAACAACTCGGAAAATATAAGTCACCCGTCACCATGGTAACAACCAGTCAACAATCATGTCTTTTTTGTCAGTGCAGCGGGGAATTATCTTGATTCTGATTAAATAAAAAAAATAAAGAAATGGATCCGTTTTGTGGTTACATCAAAATGTTTAAGACCCAAAAGAATCCACAAAAATCCACAGATTTTTTAGACATTAAACGAGCGTTTGACGGACGCTCCACCAGAAAAGTTACACAATGCGCCTTTAAAACATGATTCTTTCTCAACTGTTACCAGCAGACGCCAACAAACTCCAAGATTTTTATTCATCCTAATTAACATTTCCTTATTTATACGATTGATAATAATGATTTTCTGTTATTTTGGAAAGTAGAACGTGAACAATGTGGAATAAAAAAAAAACGATAGTAGAACTGACACCAGGAACAAATAAACCTGTTTTTTATCATATTTATGATCAACTTTCAGTTCGATGCAACATTTTGACAGTCATCATTCTGAAACTCATGAACGTCCACTTATATAATCATAAATATATTAAATCATTGTTGTTTTACTTTATACTTCAGCTTTTCCACGTTATAATTTAATCTGCAAACAAGAATTATGACTGAACACAACACAACACACTTTTAATGTCATTTTTGTGTGAAAAATAAACAGTAAAACTAGGCAAACGTGACACAGTTAATTCTGTCAAGTTTTATTTAAAGTTTTATTTATTTAAACATCTTTTACGTGTGTGAATGTAATTTTGTTTAATATTAGAATTTAACTGTTTCTGTCGGCTTCTTTTTCTTTATAATAATCAACAATAATCAACTGTTATGACTAAACACTGGGAAAGAAAATTTGCTGAACAAACCCAGAAATTTTGATAAAAGTGAAATTTAATTTAATTACTCAGACGGAAAAGTTACACCCGACGACGACGACGACGACCGACGACCACACCACGAGGTCCACAAAACACACCACCAGGTCCACAAACAACACCACCACCAGGTCCACAAAACAACAACACCAACCAGGTCCATAAAACAACACCACCAGGTCCAAAACAAACACCACCAGGTCCACAAAACAACACCACCACCAGGTCCATAAACAAACAACACCACCAGGTCCATAAAACAAACACCAGGTCCACAAAAACACCACCACCAGGTCCACAACACACCACCACCACCAGGTCCACAAAAACCACACCACCAGGTCCATAAAACAACACCACCACAGGTCCAAAACAAACACCACCAGGTCCATAAAACACCAACCACCAGGTCCACAAAACACCACCAGGTCCAATAAAACAACACCACCAGGTCCATAAAACAACAACCACCACCAGGTCCATAAAACAACACCACCAGGTTCCACACAACACCACCAGTCCATAAAACACACCACCAGGTCCATAAAACACCACCACCAGGTCCATAAAACAACACACCACCAGGTCCATAAAACAACACCACCAGGTCCACACAACACCACCAGGTCCACAAACAACACACCACCAGGTCCATAAACAACACCACCACCAGGTCCACAAAACAACACCAGGTCCACAAAAAACACACCACCAGGTCCATAAACACAAACACCACCACCAGGTCCATAAAACAACACCACACCACCAGGTCCATAAAACAACACCACCACCAGGTCCACAAAACAACACCACCGGTCCACAAACAACACCACCACCAGGTCCACAAAACAACACCACCAGGTCACAAAACAACACCACCACCGGGTCCACAAAACACCACACAGGTTCACAAAACACACCACCACCAGGTCCACAAACAACACCACCACCAGGTCCACAAAACAACACCACCACCAGGTCCACAAAACAACACCACCACCAGGTCCACAAAACAACACCACCACCAGGTCCATAAAACAACACCACCAGGTCCACACAAACACCACCAGGTCCACAAACAACACCACCAGGTCCACAAAACAACACCACCACCAGGTCCACAAAACAAACACCACACCAGGTCCACAAAACACACACCAGGTCCAAAACAACACACCACCAGGTCCATAAAACAACACACACCAGGTCCAAAACAACAACACCACCAGGTCCATAAAACAACCACCACCAGGTCCACAAACAAACAACACACCAGGTCCACAAAACAACACCACCAGGTCCACAAAACACACCACCAGGTCCACAAACAACACACCAGGTCCACAAAACAACACCACCAGGCCACAAAACACCAGGTCCACAAACACCACCAGGTCCACAACACCAACCAGGTCCACAAAACACCACACACCAGGTCCATAAACAAACACCACCACCAGGTCCACACAACACCACCAGGTCCACAAAAAACAACACCACCACCAGGTCCACAAACAACACCACCACCAGGTCCACAAAACAACAACACCACCAGGTCCACAAAACACCACCACCACCAGGTCCATAAAACACCACCACCACCAGGTCCATAAAACAACCACCACAGGTCCACAAAAACAACACCACCAGGTCCATAAAACACCACCACCACCAGGTCCATAAACACACCACCACCAGGTCCATAAAACAACACCACCACCAGGTCCATAAAACACACCACCAGGTCCATAAAACAACACACCAGGTCCACAAAAACACCACACCACCAGGTCCATAAAACACCACAAACACCAGGTCCACAAAACAACACCACCAGGTCCACAAAACAACACACCACCAGGTCCACAAAAACAACACCACCACCAGGTCCACAAACAACACCACCACCAGGTCCACAAAACAACACCACCAGGTCCATAAAACACCACCACCACCAGGTCCATAAAACACCACCACCACCAGGTCCACACAACACCACCAGGTCCATAAAACAACACCACCACCAGGTCCATAAAACAACACCACCACCAGGTCCACCAACAACACCACCAGGTCCATAAAACAACACCACCACCAGGTCCATAAACAACACACCACCACCAGGTCCCAAAAACACCACCACCAGGTCCACAAAACAACACCACCACCAGGTCCATAAAAACAACACACCACCAGGTCCATAAAACACCACCACCAGGTCCATAAAACAACACCACCAGGTCCACAAAACACCACACCACCACCAGGTCCACAAAACAACACCACCACCAGGTCCACAAAACAACACCACCACCAGGTCCACAAAACAACACCACCACCAGGTCCACAAAACAACACCACCAGGTCCATAAACAACACCACCACCAGGTCCACAAAACAAACACCACCACCAGGTCCACAAAACAAAACACCAACCACCACAAAACAACACCCACCAGGTCCATAAACAAACACCACCACCAGGTCCATAAAACAAACACCACCACCAGGTCCATAAAACAACACCACCACCAGGTCCATAAAACAACAACACCACCAGGTCCATAAACAACACCACCAGGTCCACAAAACAACACCACCACCAGGTCCACAAAACAACACCACCACCAGGTCCACAAAACAACAACACCACCACCAGGTCCATAAAACAAACACCACCACCAGGTCCATAAAACAAACACCACCACCAGGTCCATAAAACAAACACCACCACCAGGTCCATAAAACAAACACCACCACCAGGTCCATAAAACAAACACCACCACCAGGTCCATAAAACAAACACCACCAGGTCCATAAACAACAACCACCACCAGGTCCACAAACAACCACCACCAGGTCCCACAAACAACACACCACACCACCACCAGGTCCACAAAACAACACCACCAGGTCCACAAAACAACACCACCAGGTCCACAAAACAACACCACCAGGTCCACAAAACAACACCACCAGGTCCACAAAACAACACCACCAGGTCCATAAAACACCACCACCAGGTCCACAAAACAACACCACCAGGTCCACAAAACAACACCACCAGGTCCACAAAACAACACCAGGTCCACAAAACACCACCAGGTCCACAAAACAACACCAGGTCCATAAAACAACACCAGGTCCACAAAACACCACCAGGTCCACAAAACACCACCACCAGGTCCACAAAACACCACCACCAGGTCCACAAAACACCACCAGGTCCAAAAAACACACCAGGTCCACAAAACACACCACCAGGTCCATAAAACAACACCACCAGGTCCATAAAACAACACCAGGTCCACAAAACAAACACCAGGTCCACAAAACAACACCACCAGGTCCATAAAACAACACCAGGTCCACCTGGCGCACTTACGTAACAAAACATTTGCAACTGAAACTCAATGAGCTTCTCCAAGTGGGAATAAAACTCCCAGGGGAACAACGAACCAGCGGCTAAAAACGGACAAAAACACGAACTAAAACTGATAAATATGCAAAATAAACTGTATATTTCTTAAATTAAAGTTAAAAAGAAATGCTAAAGTGTAAGATTAAACATGTTTGAGCTCAAAATAAAGCTGTAATCTGCAAGTAAACTCTCATAACTGACAATTTACATGACAACAGACGCGTTCATGTAAAAGAAATGTACATTTAAGCAAATTTATGTTATTTTTAGCTGGTTTCTTCACTTACTTTTGCTGCGGGAGTCTGGAGCTGTGGTAGATCCGCGGGGTTGAAGGTTTTTTGGGGGAGATGCTGCAGACGCGGAGCAGAAGCTGCAGCAGAAGCGCAGAGTCTGAAACTGAAGCGAGCGTCAAAAACCTGCGGCGATTTAAAGAACACCTGACGCACACTTCCGCCAGGCCCTTTCACAATAAAACACACACAGGAAGTCACTTTAAAAAAATTTATTTATTTTCTTTATTTATTTATAATAATAATAATAATAATAATAATAATAATATTATTATTATTATTATTATTATTATTATTATTTCAAGTTATTTTAAAGCGACACAGCCTCTTTAAAAGGATTTGGAGTGAAAAATGACACTTAAGTTATTAAAATGAAGTTTGTCTTTTGAAATTAGAGAACAACATGCAATTCATGAGAAACATTTCACTGAATAAATCCAAATCCTAATTGAGTTTTGCTTTCAACTGTTTTGTTTTTTTTCCTCCAAAATGGATTCAAACAATTGGAAACAGTATCAGTATCAGTATCAGTATCAGTATCAGTGTGGCTGTTGGAGGAAAACCAGAAATAATAATAATTTAAAAAAGAAATCTCGACAATCAGAATGAAACAGAGACAAGTCCCAAAAAGAAAATTGAAAAATCAAAATCAGTAAAATCATTAGAGGAGCTGTGATCTGTTTTCTTGTGTCTCATCTGCAAAAGAAAGAACAAAAGTTTGTTTGGACCAGAATTTCACAGTTTTTAAAGCTGCAAATGAATTTTATAAGATGGGCTCCAGAAACTGTTTCTGGAAATTTAATCCTGACATTTATTAAAAGGTTCTGACACAAAATGGACTCGTGTGAGTTGAGCTGAGCCACGATGTTTTTATGTTGTTACTGCCACAAAAACAGTCACATTACGTCACATTTTAGTCACAGGAATATTTTTGTACTTTTGACGTCATTTACTTCAACATGAAACACTTTGACTCTTTCACACTGACGTCACTTTTGCACTTTCATGTATTTATTATAAATAACTATAACCAGTTTTTGATATAAGAACTGATTTTGTTCGAGCGCTCAGGAAAAACCGACTCTGGCGCTTCTCACTGGGCTTTAATAAATCAATTTAAATTAAATAATTTCAGATTGAGTTTTGGATAAATAATTTATACAATAAAACAAAAAAAAAGAAGAATTGGTACATGTAAAGAAAAGGTTAAAGGAAAGGGAGAAATGTGACTTTTTATTTTTTAACATGTAAATAATCTAAAAATAAAAGTATTTTGTGCTTTACAGAAACGCACTGGTGAACAGGGATTAAAAACAGAGGTAAGAGTTTGTCGAGTTGTAAATCTGATGTAAAACAATAAACTACTTCAATGTTCTAGTGTGAATACAAAGAGTGTTAAAAGTGACACATCCAAACGTCTGATCCTCCCTCCGTCTGTGAGCAGGTTTATGTCGAGAAAACAGTGAGTGTTGTTTCATTTTATTCTTTTATTCTTTTATTCTGTCACGTTAATGATCTATTGAAACTCGGGGTTAAAAGCAACATCTGAATCAAACTCAGACTCTTCAAAATTAAATTCATAAATAAACCAAAGTGGAACTTAAACTTCCCTCGACCTTTAGACTTTAGAGAAAACAAATGTTGATCATTCAGCAAAATTTGAGTAAAGTTCATTCATATTTTAGTAAATGTGATGTTGCTGCTTTTTATATCGAAGATTTTATTCATTTGAATTTCCTTTTCAAACATTTTAATGTCAGTGAGTTTATTTACATGAGTTTATTTTAGGAAACCTCAGCTGCAGAAGAGTCAAAGCTCCAGGAATCATGATGTCGACTCTTTTGGGGAAAGTTGTTGCTTCGCTTCATTCACTCAGATCCTCGTCACATCCTCGAGTCTCTAAAGAGCCACAGAGTCTCTAAAGAGCCACAGAGTCTCTAAAGAGCCACAGAGGAGCCGCCTGGAGGAGCCTGAGCTGACGTCATATTTATTGTGTTCATTCATCTGTGTTCAGCTTTAGTCCACGTGTGGAACGTTTCTATTTATAAACTGAAAAAACGGACAAAATGAGGAGGAGCTGAACAGTCACATGGATCACGAGTGTTTTGGTGTTTTGAACAGAGACGACGTCCACAGCTCCAACAGTAAAACCACAACGTCTGGAGTTTAAACTGGAGGAGGACAATTTATTCCCAACACTTCTGACACACACAGAGACACACAGAGACATCCACAGAGACACACACACACACAGAGACACACAGAGACACACAGAGACACACACACACACAGAGACACACACAGAGACACACACAGAGACACACACAGAGACACACAGAGACACACAGAGACAGAGACACACAGAGACACACAGAGACACACACACACACACAGAGAGACACACACACAGAGACACACAGAGAGACAGAGACATGTCCTACATTTGTCTCAGTCTCAGTTTCTGTTCAGGCGTCATGTGGGGACTTCCTCCCTGAGCTGCAGAAGCTGCACTAGCACCGACTCTGGAGCAGGTGCTGGAGAGAAACCGTCAGATCAGAGACACATTTTAGGTTTAAACTCACTGGATTTCAGCTTTGAACCTGCAACTCAAACAAGAGACTCATGTGAGGCTCATTCTGCTTCTGACTCGAGAGAACCAAAACACATCAAGTCCAAAGTTTGTGGAATTTAGAAAAAAAATACTGTATTTTTCAGAGTATAAGTGGCACTTTTTGGGGAAATATATTTAATAAAATGAGAGATCAGGATGGGACATTTCCTGTGTAAAGTCAAGTTGTAGTAAAAACAACAGAAGAGAGAAGAACAGACTGTAAACGTCACATATGAACAGTTCTTCAGATCAACTACAACATAAATAACAGAACAGAACAAGTTGAACCAAACTCTTCATCTCACTCCAAATCACTAAATCACTTCAATTCTTCATCCTCGTGTCACTTCTGAACAACTCGACCTCGACCTCCGGAGGGAAACAGAGCGACACAAACTCTTCTGCGTCGCTGTCGTCAGACTCAGACTCAGTTCAGTCAGGTTCATTTGGTCGTACGATAATTTATGTTGTTAGGTTCTTTTTTTCAGACCAAGAGTTTGTTTTTATACCTGACAGTTTCGACTGGTCACCAGCACAAAGCAATCGAGGCAAGTTGAAATACAGAAACGTGCCAATGGGACGATAAACCAGGACGAGGGGCTTTTTTCCTCTCACACACCTGGGATAAAGTCCTGAGGAAGTGGGACTGCAGGTGGCGCTGTCGTCCTGCCTCCAACGAGAGGAAAACAGAGACAAAACCTGTTTAAATCAACTGAGAGAAACATGACGAGACTGAGGAAGAGGAGCAGGGACCAGAACAAACTGTCAGGATGAAAACAAACTCTTGGTCTGAAAAAAGAACAACACAGACTCAGCGTCAGTTCCAGTTCGAGCTGAACCTGCTCAACCTGTTTTTCTGTCAAATAATATAAATAATCATTTCCATAATAGTGAAAGTTGTTGTTATTACTGAAAAATAAAACTCAAAAAAAAAAAAAAAAACATTATTTTTCTTGCAAGTGGCTCGCCTCTCCACAGACCTGACCTGCACTCGCTCGTCTGCACGGAGATCGATACGTTTAATGCCGCACTGTGGAACATTCCAGAGCAGCAATAACATCAGAAACATCTCCATGGAGACGAGGAGGTACAGAGGAAAATTTACACTGTGTATTTTTAAAGGTGCACTGTGTAACTTCTCGGTTGTGGGACGGTCACCTGCTCGTTTCTATGGATACGTCATTGCTCTGTCTGGAATGTTCCACAGTGTGACTTTAAACAGCTCGACTTTACATTTATTCAATCACAGGTGGATTTAGAGGAAAAACAAACATTGTGAGTGTGATGACTAAAGTAAATAAACCAGGGACTAAAAGAGGGACTGAACATTGACTTTACCAGAAATAGACCAGGACTGTCATTGCTTTGTCTGAAATGTTCCACAGTGTGACTTTAAACATTTCTACTTTACATTTATTATTCAGGTCTTTCTGAATCCCGACAGGATGGTTTCAGTGTCACTGAAGTCCAGACTTTGTCCATCATCCAGTGACTTCAGGAAAGTTTCATGGTTCATCCTCCCGGTGTCACAAGTTTCTCTCTCACTCCAAACTTTCTTTCTGCTCCGTTTCCGTTTTCAGCTGCAGATTTCACAACTCGCAGTTTATAATCTGCAGAATCTGATTTTGTTTTTTGAACTGAAGTGAATCCGATGTTTATGTTTGAGGCACTAGAACGAAATCCCAGAAATTTTACCCGGACATATTTTTATTCCTCAAGCTGGAGCTTTTTTTTTTTTTTTTCTCTCATTCAAATCAGGGACAGATTTAACTGGAGCTCATAGTCTGAAAAAATACTGCACCATCTATTATCCTGGTTTAGTCCTGGTTTTAGTCCTGGTTTTAGCAAACAAAAAAAACAAACAAAAAAAAACTTGAAAAACTGAATAAATAAAAAGTTTCAAAAGAAAAAAAAAAAACCTGGCCTGAACCTTCAGATCATATTTAAAGTTATATAATAAAGATTTAAAGTTATATAATCGTGTAATAATAAAATAATTAAACGGAGCCGAAGTCGTTGACGTGTTTCGTTACATCTGCGTTTGTTTTTATTACAAAAACAGAAGGACATTACAGTTTTGCAAAAGGGGAATGCAGAGATGACAGAAAAACCGAGCATCGTCCCTCATTTTGTCATTTAAATTAAAAAATGTACAAAAGTGCTTACACGGTGCAAATGACGGAAATAAAAGCTCTAAAAGACGACGGGAGACGACGGGAGACGACGGGAGACGACGGGAGACGACGGGAGACGACGGGAGACGACGGGAGACGACGGGAGACGACAGGGAGACGACAGGAGACGACGGGAGACGACGGGAGACGACGGGAGACGACGGGAGACGACGGGAGACGACGGGAGACGACGGGGACGACGACAGGAGACGACGGGAGACGACGGACGCCACAACGTACAGAAACTTTTCAAACCACAAAAAAAAAAACGACGCTACGATTTTACAACCAAACCCAAAGCTGCTCAGAAAAAGGTCGTTCTTTAAATCCCACGGGACGAATCAAACGCCCCGAACCGTTTCGACGACGAGTTTAATAAATACCTCTAAATATGGCGTTAGGGATGTTCGATTTATCACAAAAAAAAAAAAACCTTCCCGACTGATTAAAATTGGCACTTTTACGCAGAAACACCAGGAGATTAGACGATTAAAAGTAACAAAAAGAGTCCGACGTAAATTGTCCGTTTTTTGTAACAAGGCTTCACGTGACTTGACCTCTGTAAAAAAAATTGGTCAGTAATTCCCAAAAATGTACATCCGCATCCGTTTTGCAGTTGAGAAGGAAAAAGTTCAGATATTTTAAGGTTTATTCTCCCAAACGCTGGACGAACTGGACGAGGGAAAAGGGTCAGTAACTGTTCTCGTGTCCAGCCAGAATGTAGAGGTTACTGAAGGCCGTGGGGTTTTCTGTGGGTCGGCTCTCCAACACCACCACCCTGCACAAAAACACACAAAACACACACACAAAACACAAAACACACAAAAAACATTAGTATCAACGGGACGAACCAAGAAAAGTCAGTGAGCATAAAGGAGAAAAACTAAACCTGTAAACAAACAACAAAACTGAAATCAAACCATAAAGTACAATTATTCACAAACTAAATTGCACAAAATTGTTCAAGTCAGACACAAAAGTGAAGGAAATAAATAACTTTTGGTTCAAAATTTAATCCACACTTAAACAGAATTACACATTTTATCGTATTGCAGAAAAAAATAACCAAGATTGTAAAAGTAAAAGGTTGAATAAAAAGTTTGGAGCTGGAAAAGAATCATGGACAAAAAGGAAAACTTAAAAAATATTTGCTGTTATAGATTTGTCTAATTCAGTGGTGATCAATACATCGATCTCGATCTACAGTCGATCTCCAAGGTCGTGTGTGTAGATCGTCGTGTCTCGTCTCGGACTCGTGTTTGGACTCGGTCTTGTCTCTCACTCGAGGTCTGACACTCGACAAGTGTGATCATATTTGATTCCGGCCGCTGCTGTTGGTAATAAACTTGTAGCGGGTGCAGGAGCGTGTGGTACCTGTTGTAGTACTCGGTGGTAGAAGTGTAGTAGTAGTAGTAGTAGTAGTAGTACTTGTAGCGGGTGCAGGAGCGTGTGGTACCTGTTGTAGTACTCGGTGGTAGAAGTGTAGTAGTAGTAGTAGTAGTAGTAGTAGTAGTAGTACTTGTAGCGGGTGCAGGAGCGTGTGGGGCGTCTCAGTTCAGCCTGTGCGCTCATTTGAAACCCGCGGAGACTCTACGGCGCATCACAAACACACACGCTCCCTATGCACGGCTCGTCTGCGACAGCGTGTGCCCTCGTGTACCAGCGTGCATCACAGGGCAGGTTCAACTTCCTAAACATCCTACCTGTCCACCTGCCTCACGTCAGCACGCCGCCCCTCGCCTTTTCACGCTCTCGCTCCTTCCTGCGTACAGCCAACACAAGCCCCTCCCACAGTGCGCTGATGTGTTCCAGTGTTGGCACAAAGCAGGTCTACAGCATAGAGCGGATCTACAGAACAGACCTACTGCCACATTTGGCTGAAGTTTGTCTAACAAAAGTGACAAATGCATCTGTGTTTGTCACGATGTGTGTTTGGTTTGGTAAACGTGCAGAGGCTGGTAAATATCACTGCAAAACCACAAAAGAATGAAACTCCAGTTTGGAACTTTAAAAAACAGGTTTAAAAATCTTCCTTCACTTTTTTCACAGTTTTGTGTAAAGTGTCAGAGGAAGTTCTCTTAAAGAAGAGGTTCTCAAACTGTGGGGAAGGGTCCAGAAAAGGGCACAGAGTGTTTCAGTGCAGTTTGTTTGACTTTGTATCAGGTCGATCATTTTGACTTGGTCATTTTGTAAGTAGGTCACATGATCTAATTAATCATCTAATAAATAAATATGTGAAGAGAAATTCTGTGATTCACTAAAACATTTAAATATGTTTTGAAAAATGTTTCTAAACTCCTGGTGGTGAAAAACGACGAGGCTCTGAACGCAACAGGGAAGAAAAGAAGAACTTCTGTTTGTCATGTCAGTTTTTACGTCAGGAAAAATCAGAAACAGAGATTTTAATCTGATGTTTTGGGATTTCGCTCAAACTTCTCTCCTCCTCTTTTCCTCTTTTCCTCTTTTCTTCTATGAAGTGCAAAAACTTTCAGAAATATTCGTGTGCATATTTGGGAAATCTGCAGATTTGTCGTAGTTGAGAACAAAATAAATCTTGTTAAACTCTGGAACGAGTCGAAGACAATGTGTTGTTTGTAAATTTATCATCAGAAAATGAAGTGAAAAGTTACAACATCAAGAATTAAAATCACCAAATAAAATTTACACTTTGTTCAGCACGAACACGACTCAAAAATACAACAACACTTCACTGACCAGAACTAAACCAGGACTAAACCAGGTCTAAACCAGGACTAAACCAGGACTAAACCAGGACTAGACTAAACCCTAAACCAGGACTAAAACCCTAAACCAGGACTAAACCAGGACTAAACCAGGACTAAACCAGGACTAAACCAGGACTAAACCAGGACTAAACCAGGTCTAAACCAGGACTAAACCAGGACTAAACCAGGTCTACTAAACCAGGACTAAACCAGGACTAAACCAGGACTAAACCAGGTCTAAACCAGGACTAAACCAGGACTAAACCAGGACTAAACCAGGACTAAACCAGGACTAAACCAGGACTAAACCAGGTCTAAACCAGGACTAAACCAGACTAAACCAGGACTAAACCAGGTCTAAACCAGGACTAACCAGGTCCAGTAGTAGTAACCAGGTAAGTAGACCAGGTAGTAGTAGTAGTAGTAGTAGTAGTAGTAGCAGTAGTAGTAGTAGTAGTAGTAGCAGTAGTAGTAGTAGTAGTAGTAGTAGTGTAGTAGCAGTAGTAGCAGTATAGTAGTAGTAGTAGTAGTAGCAGTAGTAGCAGTAGTAGTAGTAGTAGTATAGTAGCAGTAGTAGTAGTAGTAGTAGTAGCAGTAGTAGCAGTAGTAGCAGTAGTAGCAGTAGTAGTAGTAGTAGTAGTAGTAGCAGTAGTAGCAGTAGTAGCAGTAGTAGTAGCAAGTAGTAGTAGTAGCAGTAGTAGTAGTAGTAGTAGTAGCAGTAGTAGTAGCAGTAGTAGTAGTAGTAGCAGTAGCTAGTAGTATAGTAGTAGTAGTAGTAGCAGTAGTAGTAGTAGTAGCAGTAGTAGTAGTAGTAGTAGTAGTAGTACAGTAGCAGTAGTAGTAGTAGTAGTAGTAGTAGTAGTAGTAGTAGTAGCAGTAGTAGTAGTAGCAGTTAGTCAGTAGTAGCAGTAGTAGTAGTAGTAGTAGCAGTAGCAGTAGTAGTAGTAGCCAGTAGTAGTAGCAGTAGCAGTAGTAGTAGTAGCAAGTAGTAGCAGTAGTAGTAGTAGTAGTAGTAGTAGTAGTAGTAGTAGTAGCAGTAGCAGTAGCAGTAGTAGTAGTAGTAGTAGCAGTAGTAGCAGTAGTAGCAGTAGTAGCAGTAGTAGTAGCAGTAGTAGCAGTAGTAGTAGTAGTAGTAGTAGTAGTAGTAGCAGTAGCAGTAGCAGTAGTAGCAGTAGTAGTAGTAGTAGTAGTAGTAGTAGCAGTAGTAGCAGTAGCAGTAGTAGTAGCAGTAGTAGCAGTAGTAGAGTAGCAGTAGCAGTAGTAGTAGTAGTAGTAGCAGTAGCAGTAGCAGTAGTCAGTAGTAGCAGTAGCAGTAGTAGCAGTAGTAGTAGTAGTAGCAGTAGTAGTAGTAGTAGTAGTAGTAGCAGTAGTAGTAGCAGCAGTAGTCAGTAGCTAGTAGCAGTAGTAGCAGTAGCAGTAGCAGCAGTAGCAGTAGCAGTAGCAGCAGTAGCAGTAGTAGTAGTAGTAGTAGTAGTAGTAGTAGTAGCAGTAGTAGTAGCAGTAGTAGTAGTAGTAGTAGTAGTAGTAAGTAGTAGCAGTAGTAGCAGTAGTAGTAGTAGTAGTAGTAGTAGTAGCAGTAGTAGTAGTAGTAGTAGTATAGTAGTAGCAGTAGTAGTAGTAGCAGTAGTAGTAGTAGTAGTAGTAGTAGTAGTAGTAGTAGTAGTAGTAGTAGTAGTAGTAGTAGTAGTAGTAGTAGTAGTAGTAGCAGTAGTAGTAGTA